TCGTATTTGAAATAATTCTTAAATATAATTTATTTGAGAGCCTTTAAATACCCGAACAAACACACCTTCCTCGTTGCAGTGGTTTCATCGAGTTCGCCGATACAAATAAGTAGAGGAAATTGATAGAGGTTTGAGAGAAAAAAATAAAAGAGATGGTGAGAGAATTCTTCTTTACCATCACTATGTGTTTGTTTGAAGAGATGTGCAGTTTCCATCTTCAGCTATTAGATCTGGTAAGTTCACATATACTTGCTTATAATTGCATATCATATATATATATATATAGCATCTATATAATTTTCGCGTTCATGAAGTTATAGAAAATTATTCTTTTCTTTTTCCTCTGTGAATTTTACTATAATGGATCCGTCATTGACACAGTCATAATAATATACATACACATATGTATATATATATATATAGCATATAATTATTCTGTCAAATTTTCCTTCTATACATATATTTACAAATATAATAAACGATACAGTAGATTTTGAACTACATCATTTTAATATATATATATATATATATCCAATTAATATCTGATATATGTATACAGCAAAAAGACAAAGACTGACTTAATCACATTTTCTCATTAAATACCTTGATTAATATAATATAAAACCCAACGACAACTTGCATCTCCTTATACTAAACATCATTAGAGAATCTTGAACCCATATAATTTGGTAATTAACAATATTTACAAGGTGCTTAAATTAATTAATTAATTAATTATCTAGATTATTGCCTAAGAGATTCTTTAAATTTTCGTAATTAGGAATTAATTAATTAATATTTAACAAAAAATAATTAATGGGAAGGGTTTGACCAACTCTTGTATTCTATAAATAAAAAATAGTTGACCAGAGAGAGTTGGCTGGCTGGGTGAGCGGGAACAGACGGAAAGAAGAAAAATCTAACATTTGTCTCCGTGATTAAAAAAGACGACCAAAACTGTGTCGTTTTGTGGGTTGCGAAGAGAACTGACAACTGTCATGCACCCACTAGAGTGTTAAAAATGAAAATTTCTTAATTTTAAATTTAACAAGTAGGATTTTTTTTTTAAATTATTTATTTGATTAATATTAAAAAATAATATATTTATTGAATTTTTTTTTTATATTTACATTTATATTTATAATTATCAGTTAAATTAATGTGTTTTTTGTGTTTTGAATTTTCAGGAGAAAATTCGGAAATGGAGAAAATTTGAGATGAAAAATTAATTCCCAATTGGAATGGGAGGTATAGGAAAAGAAGACAGCTTCAATTTTGAGGTTTCAGAGTTCAGCTGAAATGGTGGGAGCTGAAATTATAAAAAAAAAGAGAAGCTAACAAGAATCAACAGCAGTAAAATGCTGTTTGGGCACCGAGAAAGTTTTGGTTTTTGTGATTTTTTCTTTTTTTCACAAAAAAGAAGAAGAAATTTACAGATACTAACAGAAAGGGGAGGGATCTGATTATCCTCCTCTAGTCCCATGTCTCGGTGTTCATATTGGTTCATAAAAAAGAAATTGAAAAAAAAAAATCATGATCCCTCTCATTTCAGCGTAGAAACTCTCCGGCGAAGCTTCCGCCGGCGCTTCAAAGCTTGAAGTTGTCATCTGAAACTGGGCTCCGCCCTACTCCGTCGTCGCAGCTGCCACCGGAACTACCATCGAACCGCACCGTTTGAAGCCTGGAGAAGATGTTGTCGTGATCGTTTAATCTCAGGTTGGGGATCAAGATGTCGTCTTCTTTCTGCTCCTTGGAGTCCAATCCCTCATGAGGGTTCCTTTCCATGTTTCCCTCTTCTCCATTCATGGTCGCTGGAGAGAAACTGTTAGTGGAAAGAGGAGAAGAGCAGGAGGGGTTGGGTTTGCTCTGTTCTGGGTCAGCAGAGCTGATTGATTTCAGAGCTTCCGACAATGGTTTATTCCGGGTACTTCCGGCGAGGGAATTTCGGTGAGTGGGTTTTGGATGGGTATGGTCTCCGGAGTAGGTGACGATGAAGATATTCGGATCCAAATTGCTCCGTTCAACCTGTTTTCGGGCCGAACACCCTTTGGAGCTGCTACACCTGTAGTAGTTCCTGCATAATTTTCCACTCTTACTCCCGAATTTTCCCGAGAAAATTAAGATGAGAAAGAGAAGGAAGCAATCAGCAGAGAGAAGTCCCAGTTTCTACCTCGGGTATGGAGAACCTTTAATCGGCTTTTGCCCGTATTTCCGCCATGCCCATACATCAGCTGAAAGATTCTCAGCGGTAACATGGCAAACTGTTCTCTTCTGCTGGTTCTTCCTGTTGCAAATCAATCAGATTAGATTCATCCGGGAAAGAAAAATACTTTACTGGGTGGATTCAATCTGTTACCTCTTTCTACATCTAGGCTTGTGGAGATGAGCTTGTTGCTGTTGCTGATGCGGAAGTTCTGGATCATGCAGCTGAAATTGCTGAAGCTGTGACGGTGACAGTAACGGTGCGTTTTGTCGACGGTCTCTGCTTGGACTACACGACGTCGAAACGGAAGATAACGGCGTCGTATGGAACATGGACCTTTTTCCATGTATTACTTGTCTTTTTCTTCGCTGCTGATCCTGTGGCTCAAACTGATGTTGCTGTTGTTGACGGTGAGAATCAAATTCTGCAGGAGCAGAAGAACCGACCAGTGGATCATCAATGGCGGAAGGATGAAATTCTGGAATTTGGAGAAAGGGTCTGCACGAGTTCTGCAACTCGCAGCAAGGACTCATACTTCTACTATCAAACTCGCTTTTTTCGAAGCAATACTTTACAAGACTGGGAAAAGAAAATGGATCTTCTTCTTCTTCAAAAGTTAAGGAAGCCAAACAAGCCAAAGAGTTATCATCAGATTCAGTGGCTTTATCAACAGAAGCTTTACCTCTGCAACTTCTAACAATGGCGGATAGATCCCAATCGTCCTCCATTTTTATCACCTCGAAGGTAAGTTATAAAGGAAGCTAATTGACTGTTCAAGACGCTGCATTTTTTTCTGGGTTCTGCTCTGGTTACCGGTTTAGCAACTGGGTTTTAATGACAGAGAGAGGAAAGGAAGCACAAAGGACGGCGCTGACTTTTTGTGGCTAAAGAAAATATAAGAGGAAATATGTATGTATAGACTTGGTAAGAAGAGAGAGATGGAATGGTTCGTAATTATTTAATTATTTATATATGAAAAAAAAAGGGTATTGAGAATTCCACTTTGTAAAAATTTAAAGTGAAAGAAATAAAGAAAATACTTTTAGATTTTTGGTGTTTGAGAATTTGGGTAATTCTTATTTTAATATTTTATATTTAAATTAATTATATATAAGTTATGGAAATAGTAATTTTATTTTTTTATTAACTTAACTGACCCACGTAACAAATATTAATTTAATATTATTGGTGGTGAAAAATATGATTTATTAAAAAAATGATAAATATAATCCATATGCAATTTAATATTATGTATATTTTGATCAAATTCATAAAAATATGTTCTTTAAATTTAAATCACTCGAAACCCTTTTCTAATAAAATATTTTTCTATAACAATATTATATTTTCTCTACCAACAACGTGTATATATATACACACACACACACACTATATTTATGTATATTTCTTCTCATTTACATAATATTTATTTGTTTAAAAACTAAAAAAATATACAATTTAAATTTAAATCACTCGAAACCCTTTTCTAATGAAATATTTTTCTGTAACAATAACATACATATATATATATGCATATATATACATACACTATATTTATGAGTGATGGGTTATTAGGAGTTTCATGGCGGGATGAGTTCCTATTGAAAGAAAACAAGCCGACCTTTTGCTTTTTCTTTGACTTTTTGAAAAATGTCAAAGGTGGGGCCCATGGAAACGTGGCATTAAAACCCGAAACGGGTTCCTAACCCAGGCTAAGTAGCCAACACGCTTTTATTCTTCTCTGCTCCTACTCGAGATATTAGTGGCTACGTGCAATCAAAACCTCTCTTTGTCTCAATTATTGTCCACGCTCTCCCCCCCACGCGTGCTCTCACTCACTGTAACCAGTCACCTTTAATTATAATTGATTTAGTCAGAAAATTAAGTTATTAATTTAATTAATTATTTTTTAAAAAAATTAAAAATAAAATGAACATCTAAGACAAATAAAATACGTTATATACCAAATTTTCGATAAATATTATCAATAAAAGTATTATAATAAGTATCAAATTTTGGAAAATTGATTTAATAATTTATCTTATATATTATTACCAATATTACCCTCTCTATCTCTCTCTCTCTATATATATATATATAAGTTATTTTTTGTGTAATTAAAGAAATCAATAAATTTTCAATAAAAATATTATAATGAGTATCAAATTTTGGAAAATTGATTTAATAATTTATCTTATATATTATTACCAATATTACCCTCTCTCTCTCTCTATATATATATATATATGAAAGTTCTATTTTGTGGAATTAAAGAAATCAATAAATTTTCAATAAAAATATTATAATGAGTATCAAATTTTGGGAATTGATTTATCTTATATATTATTACCAATATTACCCTCTCTCTCTCTCTCTATATATATATATGTAAGTTCTATTTTATGGAATTAAAGAAATCAATAAATTTTCAATAAAAATATTATAATGAGTATCAAATTTTGGGAATTGATTTATCTTATATGTTATTACCAATATTAACCTCTCTCTCTCTCTCTATATATATATATGAAAGTTATATTTTGTGGAATTAAAGAAATCAATAAATTTTCAATAAAAATATTATAATGAGTATCAAATTTTGGGAATTGATTTATCTTATATATGATTACCAATATTACCCTCTCTCTCTCTTTCTATATATATATATATAAAATTTCTATTTTGTGGAATTAAAGAAATCAATAAATTTTCAATAAAAATATTATAATGAGTATCAAATTTTGAGAATTGATTTCATAATTTATCTTATATATGATTACCAATATTACCCCTCTCTCTCTATATATATATATATAAAAGTTCTATTTTGTGTAATTAAAGAAATCAATAAATTTTCAATAAAAATATTATAATGAGTATCAGATTTTGAGAATTGATTTAATAATTTATCTTATATGTTATTACCAATATTACCCTCTCTCTCTCTCTCTATATATATATATATATGTAACACATATAAGTTATATTTTGTGGAATTAAAGAAATCAATAAATTTTCAATAAAAAATGAATTGACTTTTTTTCATGGTACCAACCAAAAACATGAGGGGGTGGGTAAAGGATGTTTTTAGTGGTTTGATTGGGTGAAGAGAAACAGGCCCAGATATGATAGATTCTGAGAATCATTCTGCTAATCCCACTCTCCCTCTCAAGTTTGGTCCATGGTACACCAAAGTTTTTATATACATACACACACACACACATACACACACACACACACACACACACACACACATATATATATATACATATACATGTACTTTTTAATGAGTTAAATCTAACCCAAAAAAATGTGTCCTTCAAAATCTAATTTATCAAGTCAACATTATCATATTTTAGTATGAAGACATTGCTACTAAAATTAATACATTAATAATATTGGTTTTATTTGCCAAATATGAGTTATTAAGTTCTAATAATTTGACAATGATACCTTTCTATACTTTATTTGTGGACCATCATGTTTATATATATATATATATATATATATATATATACATATAATAAATATAAGATAAGCCTTTATATTGCTTGTCTATAATGGTATGATTTGTTTCAAAATTATTATTTTTTTATTAAAAAAACTCATTAAATTTAGAAAATATAAGAGAATTAATTTATAGTCATAGTGGAATTATTACTATGAAATTTGATAAAGTGAGAGAGGAGGAAGAATTAGTATAATAGATACCAATATATATATGTGTGTGTGTATATATATATACATATATATATATATATAATATTATATGTGTGATGAGATTCATGTCAAGAATTAGAGTTAATGGATGATGATGAGGGTTCTTTTAAATGGGTGGAAATGTTATATATAGATGCTTTTACAATATATAATTATAGATTTAAAGAATTTATTCCTCAAATAAGAAAAGAAAAATTTTGTATAATTATATGGAATTCCCAAAAAGTAATACGTAATATGATAGAGAATAAAACATGAGAATATATGCTTCTAGATCCTTCTTTTTTTTTTTTTTTTGCCTCAAAGGTTTGGAAAATGTAAGCCAAAATTTGTGAAAAAAATATTTTGAATTTCTATTTACTTCATAGATATATTTATGTATATAAAATATGCTAACAGTTGAAAATATTTGCTTACTTTTTTCCATTTTAAAAGTCTAGAGTATATTCTAAATCAGTTTTTGTGTACTGAAAATTGAAATGAAGTCCTTGTACCTATGCACATACAAACAATACACTGCAACATATTATACAGTCATATATATATATATATATATATATATATGTATGTGAAAGCTTTAGAACAAGATGGTTACCATTGGAGACTATGATTTTGGGACCACCACTTCCACACTCTGTACCACCACCACCACCATTCCTGTCTCAATTTGCCAGAGGAAGTAAATATTTAGTTCTTTCTTAGTTAAGGAAAGAATGAGATATTTTTGCAATTGGTTCTTTATGTTTGGCTGCTATATGAGTTATATGTATTTGTTTTAATACAAATTAAAGCTTACATTTTGGACTAATTCAATCGGATGATGTTTCTGATGCATTTATGAAATAATTCACGAATAACCCTTAATCTATTCGATACTTCTAGATATATAATTTTTTATAATTTAACTCGTTTGATACAAAAATAGAAAAGAGAAATAAAGAAAATGTGTATAGTTTTATACAGTTTTCTAGGTCAACCAAATCGGAAAGCATATATATATACTTAAAACTAACTATATCTTGTGCTACTAAATTTAAAGGTAATGTTAAAATATTTATTTACTAGAAGTCGTTTTATTATTAGAGATTGTTGTAAAAAGTATTATTATTTCAAAACTCAAAAACTGCATATTTAGAGAAATTGACTTTTAAAATTTTACACGTAAATTTTTAGTAAAAGTTAAACTCATTTTTTAAAAGTTATAACATTTGTAGTTTTTAACTTCAGAACTATTAAAAAGTAGATTTTAACTTTGATTATTACCAAATCACTTTGCATTACGTATGTTTGGTAATAAAAAATACTCTAAGACCCAAAAAGTTGAAGTCAAAAGTTGAGTTAAACATCCCTTATTGAGAAGACAATAACCCCATAGGACTACTACCTTTTCTTTTCTCTTTCACTAGATGAGAAGAATTGGGAGAAGAAAGAAGATGATGAGCTTTTTGGTTGTTTGTAGTTTGTAAGACTTTATGGGGGCCTAAAGGAGGATAAGGTAACTGACATGATTGTTATTTTGTATTGATTTTGGATGATGAGAGGGAAGAGTACATTTCCTTTTTTCTCTTATGGTGGGTTTGGCAAGTTTAGGAAAGGTTGGAGGAGAAGCTGAGAGAGAAGGAGAAAAGGACTTGATGGGTGGGAGGCCATTTTTGGTTTTCATGGGTTTGGCAGGTGAAGTGATGATACATTTGTCATTTGTCATTCACAAATGTCATTTTTTCAGAAAAAGCAAAGATTGTGATCTAAACTTATCTCCCACTACACACTCCTTTCCCTCTTTTGGCTGAAAAATTGCTTGTGAATGTAAAATAATTAAGTAAATGAAAAAATAGAGAATACAAAATTTACTTGGTTCAACTAATTTTGTCTTATAATCTTCAAGACAAACTCACCCCCCCACTACTATTGTTTTACTTAAACCAAGATTTCCATCTTCTCTTAAATTTTTTTTTTGTAAGTATAAACTAACCAAATACCAATGACTAATATGTTGGATAGAAAGAGGTATGCTTCATCAGAACAGATATTCGGTTCTCGCAAGCAACATTTTGAGTAAGCTATAAAATGAACTAAACCACAAAAAAGTACCTTCAAAAATTGCTTTAAAAGTTTTAGTGTAAAATAAAATTTTAAATGTATTCTTGACCCTTTATAAAAAAGGAATTGTAAAGTCAACAAGAAATTCAAATTCATTATTATAAACTAGAGAGACTACCATTCTTTATGCTCTTGCTAAAATCCCTACAACATTACACTTGATCTTGCAACATATAAACACACACATGTCATTTGACTACAAGTCATAAATCTATGAAAAATAAAAATTGAAAATGCTAACAGTATAAGGTACAAGTCATGATAATTTAATTGATGTCAAATCCTCCTAAAACGCACTAGTGGCTTTCTGAGGGGGGAGTTGAGAGGACTGATTAGATTACCCACCCCTTAGTGTGGGATGAGATGAGAAACTGGGGAGAGAGGTAGTAAGAGCTGAGACTGTAAGGGGGGGCACCCCAGAGAGGAGAAAAGAGAAAATTGCTACTGTCACCACGTGTTTTCTTCTGGTTTAAAATCACCTATCAGTACACCAGGCCCCCACCACAATTTTTGGCCTTTCTTTGTGCTTTCTCCCATCATTATTATGTACACAAAACATGCTTGAATATTAATATTACTATTAGTACAGGAGCTCTTTTTTTTCTTACCATAAATGGTAATGCTACAATCATTATCTTCATCTACAGTTGTCGAGGTTTTCTTCAGGATTATGCCACTGCCTTGATACTTAAAAGTTTCTAAAATTATTAATGAAAACTATTTCTTGTTATGTAATGTTTTGACTTTGAAGTCCAATCCTCTATTTACAGTAAAGGGAAAATCATAATTTTGTTCTGGTAAAACTATAATTTACTATGTCAAAATTACTGTAGTTGTTATATTCTATTGACCCCAAAAAGTTATTATAAACAATTTACTGAATCTAACAGTAAAAGTATATGAGGACTCAAAAAAAGTGCACCTGTGAATATATATGCCACTGCACTATGCTCGTTGATTGAAGGACAGAGGATGCCTGATTATCCCTGTAAAAAGAAACCCGAAAGTAACTATAAATTGCTGCATAACTGGGAAAGGAGACACTTAGCAGAGACTATCCAAAGACTAATAAAGATCGTGGTTAAGCAGGGCATCCATATTAGTAGACACAGAAAAACAAACATCAACTGCAGTAAGAAACTGAGAATCAGGGCTGATTGAACGACCATAATGTCATGACTGACATTTATCTAATCACAAAAATATAAAACTATATGAAATAATAAAGTTATGAGTAAAAGCCTGCTTACCTCCAAGAAACCTGACACTTACATCCATGCATAACATGGAGAATGGTCAATAAACCACATCAGTAAAATAGCGTTGAGCAACATTATTGTTCTGATTTAAAAACAAAATAGTTGTTCAAAATTACAAAACATGGGCCACACCTCAGACAAAATATCCTTTGCATCCGTTTATCATTTCTTTACAAATGGTACACTTGACTACAAACATCATGCAGCCACATAGAGGAACCGCTTCATAAGCCTAGAAGGTATGATCAGATCAGTCAAAACAATAAAATTCTTACATCCTTTTTTTTTTCTTTTCATTTTTTAATTTACAAAATTGACCAATGCCAAGCATGTATTTTAGTTAGTCAGGCTACTTCAGTTGTTTCCTCCACGTACCCATCGAGGAGAACCTGTCTTTGCTAAGCTGGAATAATAATCACCCACATT